ATGTCCCTCACTTATCCCGATAGGGGTGAGACTAGTAGATGATCAGTAGTGGTGGGTTTATGTGTACATGCTTGTGAGGATGAAGTGTTTATCTACTCCTACTTAGAGGGGACGGAAATGTCTCCATCTTCACTACTTGAATGCTTTTATTAAAAAGGGGCTTTTTTTGAGGATTATATGATGACTTGGATTGGTAGGTAAAAGGGAGTCGTCTTCCCCCGCCTTTCTCTCTTATTGATAAAATAAGGCTTTGTGGATGCGAACAAAGTCCTCACATTTGACTGCTGACGTTGAAACAACGAACTCTTCTCTACCATCCATCACAAATTAACAGATTATTTAACATTAAACTGCATAAAGGCTGGAGTACCGACAGGCATGCATTCAACAACTGCGTATCCGCATCCCAAAAAGTCTGTCATAACAATGCGCAAGGAGGAGGGAGGAAGGAAGGTAGGGGGGGGGGGAGAAGTAGGGAGGAATTTTTCACAAATTCTTACGTCCTCTGCTAATTGGCATTCACATGCCATGGTTACTCGCAAATTCTTTTGTTGTCCTATGTAAGTGTGAAAAAAATGTGTGTCTGATTGTATTCACCTTTTTTTTTACTTTACAAAATTTAGGGAGAGTATCAAATGCTCGAGGGCACCAATCAACAGAAACGTGTGTGGACATTGACGAGCACTTTCGATGATAGTGGAGGGCGTATTGACGCCTCTGTGACGAGTCCCTCTTTTGAGGCTCAAAATATTGCCGATTTAGCGGTGGAGAAGCACTTTGAAAAGTCTCTTGCCACCTTCCACGCCAAACAGGCAGCTGCAGCAGCAGCAGCAGCAACAGCAACAGCAGTATCAGTTACAGCTTCTACCGATGAGGTGACATCTAAGACGCTGCTGGATTTGACTCAAACGCCCTTTAGTCCCTCCTCTCCCTCCACAAATTCAAGTTCCGATGGCTCTGCGCTATTTTCACCACGAGAGGAAAGCGGTGGAGTCTCATTTAATCCGAAGAAGAAGTGGCTTGCTCAGTATGGCGATGACGAGGGCGCACGAATACGAGTTGGTAGAAAGAGTGGCACTTGGAGCATGGATGACAACGCCTGGACCTCCAAGACTGCCACCTCCTCGACCAATGTCGAGAAACGTTCGAGGAGCTGTCCCCTTCTTCGCAATGAATGTACACATTCTGTAAAAACCCTTTCGCATTGCAAACACAAGTGCGACTCAAATTCCAACGTAAGTGGCGACTTATTGAGCAGTACCCTACAGACTACCACCAAATTCACCTCGCATTACAACACTTATTTCTTCTGGTAGGACACTTCTAAACCCATAGAACTTTCGCGGACAGTAACCGTACAATCGTCAATTTCCTCTCTTCAATTGCCCCCACAGAGAGGATTCTTACCTTTGCCACGAACAATCAGTCTAGAGGTGCCTTCGCTTGGCAACAGTATTGACTTTTTCGATGATGAAGACGAAGCTGTTGTGGCTTCTAAATCAATATCGGCTCGTGAGAGCCCCATCTCTTCACCCATTGCTGCCTCCTCGGGTTTCTTCACCGATTCCACCTACTCACTTGACTCTTCAACACTCCCGGTTATATCCGAGGCGGGATATTTTAGCTCTAACGCATCAGTTAGCTCCAGTTTTAAGGCGAGACATCTCGCTGTATTGCGAGAGAGTGTCACGGCGACAAGGGCGAAAGAACAGAGCATATGTGTTTGTGAATCGGAAGACGTGACTGGAAGGAACGGCGCGAGTCCTAGTGGCCGTAGCTGGCCCCTCCGGAAACGTACCGCTTCAGACACAAGTGATCTCTCCTGTCTCAAACGCTCCCGATCGGTTGTTGACACGGGTTGTGGAGAGCATGCATAAGACAACATAAGCCCCTTCCCCCTCCCACCTCCTGAGTACTGACTTCTCCATCTCTTTCTCTCTCTCTCTCTCGCCTCGTCCGCTCCATTTCCCCCCAATGTATGCGTTAAACTCTTACCTCGTTTTCACTCACCTCCCCCAAACAAGTAAACTTTATTGTGTTTGTTTTATAATCTATGTGATCTAAGCAATAACTGCTAGAGTAAAATCTTCAGTTCACTGTTAGCGGTAGGGAAATCGTCCCCCTATTTGCACCAACGGTGAATTGAGTCGGATCTCTCTGCCCCATAACTCCAACAAATGTTTGTGATTTCATCAACGACTCAACTATAGCAATGAACGACCTCACTCAACCTATCTGAGCACTTAGACTTTCACTGTCTGGGTTCCTCATACCAACGGAATCTGAAATGATCCGCTTAAACAACTAGATTATTCAATTGCTATTATTTTGCGGATGATGTCCGTTGTACAACACCCTTTTTTATGCCTAAGAGTAGAATTGCTTATTTTTGAACATACGTAACAACGATAATAGGAAAGAAGAACGTGGGCAGAAAAACGTATGCACCATAAAATCACACTTTTACTTCCTTGACGCATCTTTTGGGGCTGTTTGCTTGTGTTGAGTTAATTAAGCAATCGGTATTACAATGGTATTACAAAAAACAAGGGAGTGTGGTGGCCACGACGGTCTCAGGATGGCATCCTTTCAGCCCCTCAAACACGGCGTTCAAGACTATATCCTACATCTCACCTTCAGGATTCATTTAAGCAACTTAGTATTTATTGCAGTGAAATTAAGCGAACTTAACCACGTAACGCTTTTCGTCTATCACTGAGCATACATGATGGTCAGCAGGACCCTTAGGGCCTGAAACACCTTATCAAGTTTAACGTATCTTTGACTCCATTTTGAGCTATTTTCACATAACAGTGAATTTCAAGTAAAATACTTAGACTATGTCAGAGAGGAGTGGATGATCGACGCAACCGACATAACTATCTAGTTGATGATATTTTGTAGCACCGTTTAAATTACGGTGTGGTGTAGGAGGCGTGATTGAGGGGAGTAGAAGACCTAAGTCTAATAGAAAAAAGGGACTATAGCTGCAGGACATAGTGAATGTCCGAATCATGCTTTGTAACGGAGAGAGGTGTAATATATTCTGGCTTGTTTAAGTGGATTTTATAGGTGGGAGGCGGGAGCCGATTGGGAACGTGGATTACGTGGTTGAAGTCAGCGAGGAGCCCCCTCCAATTGATATCTCTTACCTCATCTGTATCCTATTTCCCATCCTTCTTCACAGCGATGCCTAATAAATCGTTTGCAACCAACTTCCTCTTAAAGTCTGAGAACCTGGGACCAGAGGGTAGACAGGCAGTAACTACAAAAGGAGAGATCAATACAAACACCATGCGGGAGGAGTAAGAGGACCCATTCCTGGACTAGCGTAGATGCCTTTTTGGGATAAATAAATAGATAGTTGACACTTGAGTGGTCATATCACTGATGTTTCTAGACCTAGAATTAGGAAACGTCGTAATCGTAATTCGTAGTCGTAATACCATTACATATTTTCTGAAATGATGTGTTCAGCCTAGGCATCTTCTAATTTCTTAATGACTTTCTGCCTTCATCCTAGCCTTCTTTGAATGAGGGCACTTCTGCATAAACACAAACAAAACGTCAGCAAGGACAATCGGCCTAGGACTTGAAGGGATTCTTGCGTTCGACCGGAATTGATTCGCACCTTTCTCCTACAGTATTCAAATTGATCAGGAGACGTGCATTTTAATAAGTCTAATCTGTAACTTCCTGCAAGAGGCCCGAGAGAAAATTCGAAGATTATGACCTAGTATTTATGTATTACCTTGTTTATGTGACCACCTATATATCTGGTCGTTATTTTGGTATTCGTCTAGCTAAAGCCCAAATAGTTCGTTGTCCTCCAAAATGCATGCGTTCAGCTCGACACAATGCCTTCTTCCACTTTGTGGGAAGTCTCGGAGCACTACCCTTGTAATCTTTCTATTTCAAAAAAACTTGTTTTGGGTGTATATAAAGGGAATACTTGCACATCAGTTGCTTACTACAAAACTCATTTTAACTAATAGGTGTTTTAGCGGGCTTCACATAAGTTTGATCATTCTCTTTCACATAATACAAAAGTAAGGGACAAGTTTGCCTTAAACCTAGCACTATTATCTACTTTTAAGCGTTAGGCATCGGAGTTCATAATTAACGTATCAATTTCGCTGAATGGAAGTATTTTCATTAGCAAGAGTTTAAACTATCTCAATTACTTGCCACCTGTAATACAGTGAAATTCGGAGTAATTGGTCCCAAGTCCGTATTTATTATTTAACCCAACAAACATCGAAGTATATTTCTAATTTGACACTTGTAACTTTAGGAGTAAATGGAGATATTGTTTGTTTGTTACGTCTAGTTTTATAACTTAGCGTCTACTATTGCTCGTCTTCAAACGGACGACCTTGTGCACCCCATTCATATTGGTAGTTAATTTGTGCAATAATTATTGCACACATCGGTTAATAGAAAGTAGAATTTGGTCATGATTAAAAATTGGTGTTTACTAACGCCCTCCCGCTCACAAGAAATTTTGGCGAAGACTCGTCTCAACGGCATTCGCAAAACCATATATTCCGTCAATGGTGATAGCTACACTGGGGAGTGGAAAGACAACAAAAAGCATGGTACATTTCCCTCATACGTCAAATACTCTAGGCCGTGGGATTCAAAAATGGAGGGCTACCCAGCTTATCTATGAAGGTTATTGGGAAAATGGCAAGCGATGTGGTCCAGGAGTCTTAGCCGTAGTGGGTAAAAATGGTAGTCACACAAAAATATACTCCGGAATGTGGAAAGATAACAAACGTCATGTAATTTGGTCTCCCTTATCACATTTTAATGCAGGGTTACGGCGAAAACTGGTACAGCTGTAACGAGTTTTATGAGGGAGAGTGGTACGAAAATAAGCGAAGTGGGTGGGGCCGCTACTACTACAAAGATGGAGCCATGTACGAAGGCGAATGGTTACATGATAAACGTTGGGGTAATGGAATGTTGCGACTACGTAATCTGCTCACATCCAATTGTTATTTCTATCTTAGCAAATGAGAATAGATATGAAGGTGGTTGGATTGATGACATGAAAAATGGTAAAGGAAAGTACATCTTCCACACAACCAATCAGGTTATGGAGGGAATATGGATTGATGATGTTGCAAAACAAGCCATTTTTACTGATCTTGGTCCTCGGATGGAGAAAACCGAAACAACCTACCCCATCCCAAGTGTAAGCTTCTGCGTTCCCTGACTCCGAAGCAACAATGTCCAAGAACCAGTCTCAAACCTTTATATTTTATTTGCAGCTGGAATTGCAATCATGGGATGCAGTTTGGCGCGATACGGCCGAAGACAATATGAGACTACTGCAAGAGAAATATCCACAAATCTCCATGTAGTATAATCCGTGGTATAGAAAACAAACGATAGCATTGCAGCGTATGCTTTATTTCAATAAGTGACAAGGACACTACCTTTGTTAATAACAGTTGTGTATCGTTGATAAAAAATACAAAAGAGGCGTAGTGTTCACAGTTTAGAGGTTATGAACACAAGACTACGAAGACTGCATATGTTTACGCATGCAGTATACATAGCAAAATTTAAGTGGTAACAGTTATAATGTATAGTGAAAACGGTGAGGGAGGAGGAAGTACTTTGACAAAGAGACATAAACTGAGGGAAAACAAGTAACACTGTCCATTTATCTAAACACATTGTAGGCCAATGGGGGTATAAATGCAACACATTGCTTAATAATCTTATCAATATTCCTGCTTTCTGTTTACTCAAAGTCTGCAGCGTTGAGCGGGGTGACGACGCTGTGCGCGTCAGGAAAACGTAGGTGATACTTGGATGCACGCAAAAATTTGACAGTCAAAAGATGACCTACAAAAGCAAAATGAATGGCGTAATCCACGCACAAGTGGCCAACATACACTAAATAACAGTTAGCAGTGAAGAGGTAGACTTACTATCGAAGTAGTTGGCGTTTATTACTTCGAAGACCCTGCCAGCAACTGCGGGGGAGGCACACTTCATATAAACTAAACCCTAAAACAAAAAAGTTATTTTCTAGAATCGTTCTCATTCCGAATCGCATAACATGTGCAGCGTGATGAAGCGAAGTTCATCATACAAAAAAAAAAACACTCCTCTCTGGACGTAAAGGAGTGTACTGACTCAAACAAAATAGAAGTCACCTGATTATTTTGACTATCCAATCCTATGTGCAAGATGGGTCCACAACCTGCGACACGATTGAGTAGTTCGCGTATCAGCCGACGTTTAGCAGAGGCATCCATTGAGCTGCGGGAGAGGTGAGTGAGGATGAATACATCAGCGCTAAAATAACCAACAACATAAGGCGCAAACTTACTCCCTGGTAAACATGTTTCTAATCTTCAAGCATTCTGTCGGAGGCGTGGTGAAGGGCAGATGAGGCGATTTACCTTGAAGGGCTAGATTAGACACGGGGAAGACGAGTGGATAGAGAAAAATTGCATCTCAAGACTACTCGACAACAGCAGTGTTAGAATGCAGTGGAAGTGGAGCATTTGCTGGACTGAAATTAAGTTTAATTAAGCAAAAAAAAAAGACCTCTACCACAATTTAAATGTACAAACCTTTAAACCTCGAAAAAAATATGGTACAGTTGTAGATCACGTATGCAAACAGTTGAAGCAATTGCACCTTTCTTGAGTGGCAACGGTGACCAAGCTCGATTTCCAACAACAGCTTACCGAATTCGTGCTGTTGACCCCAAAATTTTAAGAGACTGAAAATATACCACATTACCTAATTTAAACTGGACGGATCGAAGCACAAAAGAGTGACAACGCAACCTTAGACTGATAACATGTAAGCAACGCAACTGTAGGGACACCTGTTCGTAAATGTGACATCATTAATGGTGACAACAAAGAGAACCTACGATGAGTTCAGCAGATTTCTAATTAAGTCGAGACAACTCATAAAACAAAAAAACCGCATGCACGCAGCTAGCATATGCTTTATTGAATGCAGCAAAACAAATATTACTGTGAATAAGAGGTCGCAGGTTTGTTCAAATTAAAGGTACTCCAAGAAGTTCTGGATGACAGGCACCACTCTGTCCCATGATGGGGGACGGATGGGCAGGAGAGGACGGAGAGAAATCAAGAAGAGAGGGAGAGCAAAGCAGAATATTACGGCGAAGGGGGAGAGTAGTTGAGACTCTGGCCCCATCGCCAGTACCAACTCTCAACAGCACAGCTGGAGTTAGCAGTGTAGCTGCGGGGCTGACCCTCCAAGCTGTTGGCCGTATTGGCGATGGTGGTGGAAGAGTGTGGAGAAGACACAGAGAGATGCTTACCCGAGCCTTGCCAACCCGACCCCGCTTGCCATTGCCAGGTTTCACCCACGCCGCGCCACTCTTGTACTAAAATACTCCCCTCCACCAAGTGCACGTAGTGTTCCACCTCTGTCCAAAACTCCGCCAAACTATAAGGTAAGTGGATAAGAATGAAATTCGGAGCGGCTAAGCACCCTACTTCACCGTCAACTCAAACGGAATGTTGAGTGAAAAGCCATCCAGTGGATGAGATATAGTGTGACATGCAATAGTTAGAAGGTTTCAGGTATAACAGGGCCGCTCACTCTGAATTGGTGTGACTGAGCCTTTCTTTGATCACTGAAACAGGTACATACGGCGGTTCAGGAGGATTTGATTGTCTGTGCTGTAGTTGCTGTTGTAGTATGCCTAAAGTAAGGGCAAGAACACTGATACAATGAGGAAATATCACACAATGCAATAAACACCCAGTTATTTGTGACATTATCAACTGTCATGAAAATTGAGGCCCTCATTACGATTAATATGACAAGCCAACGAAGTTAGAAAATAAGAGGTTTTAAACTCACAAGACACCTCACGAACGATTTCTCGAACACGCATTGCGCGTTTCTTTGAGCGGTTCTGCTGGGACTGCTTGATGCGGTAAATCACATAACAAAAACCGCCCACTGCAGAGAGAATAACAAGTACCCAAAGAAGGTTGTTCAGAAAGTGCAAAACGGAGTGAGCGAAAAGACGTAGGCGACAACTGCCGGGGATGTATGGACGTAGACTCTCTAACTCTACCACATCGTGGCAGTTTCTAGAACAAAAAGTCTGGTTTATCGACAACAGTAAAGGAGTGAATGCTTAACTCGAACATAAGAGTCAAAGTTACACAGAAGGGTGACCATCCGAGTCATAGGCAGCAATTTGCAGGTGTTTTTGCCCAACTTCAGCAATCATGATCAAAACCTTGCTCCACAAGTCGTCTACCTGATTCACAGACACAGAGGTGGCAGGATGATCTGCGAAGTAACTTTCAACAAGACGCTTTGCTGTCTCCACCTCCATTCTTGAACTTTCAACCGAATCCCCACAGAAGTATTCGCCTAGAAAAATTTGAAGCTTATTAACTACAGTACGCTCGATTCCCATTGGTGAATAGAACTAAAATGTAATGAATAAGCAGCATTCACAAAACACTAAGATCCAAACATTGCGGAGACGAATTGAGCATAAAACACATCTCAAGTTGTACTTCACTGTTTAAACCACTCATTCAAGAAAAACAAACGAAGCAAGACGGTTACGCTTACCAGCGAATCGGCTAAGAATTTCAAAAAGGCTATGAATTATTCGTAAGATCACGGGAAGTTCTTGACTACTGACGCAAGTTTGCCGCGAAGAAACTGCAGTTGTTACTGGTTTATGATGTCCCTCAGGCAGACAAATTACCTTTTGGAAGTCTGTTGTGAAAAAAGTTACATCACAAACGAATGCAGTGTCACTCAGGTGAATCAGGTGTGAGAATCTTACCAGCAATCCGACCCACATTACTGTGTTTGTCCTTCAAGAGAAGATAGCTTGAAACTATCACCGCGAGCAAGGTAATTCCACAAAACAAGATCAAATTTGGCACCTGGTTTCCAAACGAAAACCCAAACAATTTTGAACAGATTGACTTTTCAAAGGATTCTTCTGACAATGGCTGACAGCAGTTTGAGCTCTTATCAGACTGATAAGCTCTATGAACGACATCATCTGAAGTTAGATTTGAGTCATCAGAAATAATTCGCGATCCTAAATTAGAGGATCGTGGGATCCAACCAGAGCAAACTGGTCTTTCTTGGGATGATACCGTTGCATTACTGATCCCGTAGAGATCACTGCCGTACCTAAAAGAAAGGCAAATCATTCAAAGTTAAGAAATGGGACAATAAAACATCCAAAAATAAACATACGATGTACTCATTCCACGGCCAAACGAAAGCGGGGAAGTAGATGGACTCGGCCCGCAATCATGATGAAAGGATTGTTTAGCAGAAGGACCTAAGACGGAACTTTTGGGTCTAATGCCAACTCCAACATTTGCAACGGTTGAGGAAGTCCGCAGAAAATCGGTGTTGACTGCTCTCAAAGGTGATCGAATCCCAGCAGTTGGTGTGTTACCAGGATTCTGCTGAAGAGGAGCTGTTCCAATGTGGGGATCTCGCAATGATGTGTTTGGAAGCTGACGTCGGAAATCGGATTCCAACAGGCTGTTGGATGCATCGGCACGCGTTGAGCTTAGCAACGAGTTTCGATTCAGTGAACGGGAAAACAACTTTGATGAAGAGCCATCTTTAAGGAAGAGAAAAGCAAACACGTAATCCAAAATTTTTTTTGTATAAAGCTAAAAAGTAAAGAAATACTACCCTCAGACTTAGTTGATTCCCCCGGCTTGGTTTTATCGAAGGAAAGTATTTTGGGACCAGATTTATTATCCCTACGCAACCGTTCCAGTTTCCTCTCGTAAACCTGCCTAGTAGCAGGCGTGATCGGGCCAGGTTCAAACCCGTTAGCCTTTAGCTCTTCTCTTAACTCATCGTCAGACAACGCCCGCATCCGGACACAATAAGCTGCCCAAAGTGAGTGCAAAGCCGCTGCAGCATCAACAGTAATAACTAACCAATAATCTTCAAGCATTCTAAATCGAATCAGATGTGTGAAATGAAGCATTGCGGATTCTTATTTATAGTTAAAAAGAACAATATTTACATCAGCACCTATTACTAGTGTTTTTTACTGTAGTTAAAATTTTGGAAACCTAGAAGTGAGCGTTTAGGAAACCTTTATGGAACAGTGCGTTGTAAATTGCGTGAGAATGCATAAGGGTCTCCGTTGACATTATATTACTCGTTCGTAACTTCCTAGCAATCTCGGTAAATCCCGTCAGAGCAAACCTTTTTGAAAAAGCAAATATCTTAAGCAAACGTTTTGATGGGCAGTTTTAATTGCCATCATTTTAGTGGTCGTATTCTCCCCAAGAATGGACTGACGCGCGGGAGGTACCAAAATCATTGACGATTGTAGCATCCCGAGGCTTCCAATGGGGTAGTAGAACGCATAAGTGGGGTTGAATACATGTATTCCGAAAGCAATAGGAGAAATGGGGCCTGAACGTGGCCCGAAGTCCAGCCCACGTGTACAGGGTCCAGACAAGTCCTAAAAGTGACCGCCAAACGTCAGATAGTCGCATAAACAAAGCATTGCACTGCCCCTCTCTTCTTCTTAGCGACGTCCTCGGCGCTCCCCTTTGGTACACCTCCTGCTCCAGTCATCACAACATATTCGGTACTACAAGAAAGCATCCACGAGCCATGTGCGCCAGTCGAGAGACAAAGCGAGAGCGAGGAACCGTACCTCATCTTCTCGGCAGCTTCAACTGGGTCTGGAGTTTCGTTC